ATACTATCATAGAAGACCCAATTAGTTGATGGTTATTTTTATCAATATTTAACGGTTGTAAACTATCAAGCAAGGGGGTGCCATATATTAGGACCTCTCTTACTTGATGGTTAAAAACTATCAAGTATTAGTTTTTAGGTTTAGGCTTTGATCAAATTTGAAAGCTAATACTTGACAGTTATTTTAAAATAATCATAAAGTATTATTAAATACTTGATAGCTATTATGATTGTTAGGCATTTGTGGTATTTTTTATGCAAGCCACCCCCTGCAAATTTTACAAAGAAATCAACTATGTATTAGCTAGCCAACAACTAGAAACAAATCAATCACTATTGCTATTAAAATTAATATTCAAATACATTAAAATTCCTATATTATTCCTATACCCTAAACTAAAAAACCATAAAAAATCTATAATCTTAGCTAATTTGCAAACTAAAATTCCAAAAACTAAGTGGCTTAAGACATAAAAGTTGGCCAAAAAAAAGATGTGTAAGTTATATATATACCTAAACTAACTATTGGGCCTAACCATTGCTGCTATCCACATGTTTAACATGGCTAAGGCTACCTCTTCAAGGACTTCTTCTATATGTATGGCCACATACCAAATGCAATAGACATCCTCAAAGTACCTTATGTAAAGAGTCACAACATTTCAAGTTAATAGTGTAATATTCTCACTCCACTAAATACAATTAACAAATAAAACTCATGAAAATCAAAGGATTAACCTAAAGAGTGATTATCAAGGTTTAATTCAAAAGCAAAGGATCCCAAGTTTTCTAAATAACAATGAGTTTAAATCAATCAAAATCCTTCATATTAGAGTAAAATAAATTTCGAAAGCATGGGATACCTCAGAGAAGTAAAAGAAGTCAAAAATGATTGAAAAACAAAACTTGTGCTCTGTTATAGGGCAATGCACCCCAGCTCGTGCATACTGTGCCGCGACATGTTGCTCTCTATGCCATGCGCCATGACTCAAGTGCCATGTGCCATGATGTGTTGCATGAAAATTCAACTAATTCTATTGTTATTTGACAACAGAATCAGGGAACTTCCGACAAGCCTCAATTCTTCGTCTGACGTCCGATTGACATGATCTAGTGTCTATGGAAAGCTCTTGACATGAACTAACTAGTGGCATGGGTTTCACTTTCAAAACAATCACACCAGGAAGTTGGATACCCAAACATATTTTAACCACTTTTCACAACTTTTACACAAAATGGGTGTCCAAAACCCTCAACATGTGATAAAAGCCTTTCCTAACACTTGGACTATGTCCATTAGACTCAGGACTACTAGTATAACATGTCACACATATTGAAACCATAGTATAATAGAAATTCACTCCTTAACCCTTTTTTTACAAAAAATAGAGGGGGAGGTAAATTGACATTACTTTACACCCAAAACAATAGAAATATTTAAATGTCTATTTCTACACTTACACTAGTATTTTGTTCATATTAACAAATAATATCAACATACACAAAGAATCAAGGCCAAAATACAAATCTAACATTCCCAATAATAAAATAGTGCAAGTGTGATGGAATGCATCCTAAAATTGACAAACACATACTATTACACAAAATAAACTAAGCTAGAGGCATACAGAAAGGAATATGCTAATTTCTAGCCTCTTTAGCTTTCTCCCTCTCAACACCAGAGCTAGAGCCTCAAAAGTGTTAAATAAAAGGGGTGAGTCTAGTCACTTAGTAACCAAGGTTAAACTTACCCTATGCAATTATATATCAATTATAAACCAAGTACATGCATAAGAAACTAAGTGTGTAAAACATGCTCACATATATCATAATTTTTTATCTATCATTAAATAACTTCTTTATCTCATAATAACTAGATGCATTGTCACCATATTCTTAGATATGTGACTATGACCTATTATTCATGTAACTTGCCATAACTTAACACATGTGACATGTCATATATTTCTATAGGCAATGATCAACCAATTTTATATCTTTCTTATTTTCTTAGACCGAAACTGTGGGCTATAATACTGATTAGGGTTCCATTCATGTGATTGAACTACCCAAGCTCACTAATCGTGAGGTGTGACCTGGCCAAAGATCACATGACTTACTCTCAGACCATGGCTTCTCCCATTCTCAAATCTATGGGGTGTCTCATACCTTAAACTATTCTCCTCATTGAACCTGTGAATATAACTAGGTTTTAATCCCTCAACAAACTATGGGATAGTTTCTCGACAAACTATGGGACAAGGCTATACCCTCGTGCATCAGAGTGCAGCCTAAATACCATATTGATTTTTTCTACTCTAAATCCCTTGGCGAACTCCTGCCACTGATCATGCCATAAACATACTTACTCATTTTCACATTTTCATTTTCATTTACTCATTATTACAATAATCAGTTGGACTCACGACTGTGCACTACCCAAGTATATATTCTCATCATTTTCTCCCTTATCTCAAAACCCACTTCTCATTAACACAAATTTACCTCTACTCAATATCACATTCATTTTTCAAAAGCATAAGCATGTTCATAGTTAAAAATCCTTTTGACTTCACATTTTGCATTTCAAGCCAAAAATAGCATTATACACATTCAAGTTTTTCATTCACTTATTGAAACTAATACATGGTTTCACATTGAAAATCAAACTCATACATATAACATCACAATTCACATTTAACAATCAATTAATATATAACTACCCAAAGTAAGGTTCCCTTGATTACCTCAAACCTTTGAGAGATCAAAGGGTGTTGGGTTAATGAGGATAATTAATGTAACCTTAGGTATCACACCCTAATGTTAAGGTGTGATTGGCATGACATATGAGATGAAACTCATATCGCATAAACCTTAATTGATCAAGAACTAAGCTAAAATATTGATATATGTAAGTTAAATATAGTAATAAAATTTGTAAAGTTTTAAGTGTTTTGTAAAAATTTTGACAAAGCCTCTCCTATATTTGAACCTCTCAAAATTCTTACAACAACAATAGAACCTTCCAACCAACCTAGCTAGAAGACTAGCTTCTTTCCAACAATTTATATAATAACTAAATAAGGCTAGGACCTAACTACAGTGTATGTGGAGTACTAAGTTATGATTATAAAATACAATACATAGTTTTATCAAAATAATAATCGCAATATGCCTTCTCTTTTGCAAAAAAGCAAAAGGCCTCTCAATGATCTGCTAAAGGTGTAGAGTCAGCTACACTATCTAAGACTAAAGAAATACCGGTGAGTAGCATTCCAATCATATACATGTATATAAATATATGAAGATATTAACGAATAAATTTAATTTAAAATTTTGAAATAATAAACATGAACTTAAACTAATAATAATAGACAACTATTTCTCTCAATGACACAATCATGAATTTGAATAATGGTAATAAGACAAATAATTTATCAAAATTTATATGTTCATAGAATATAAAAAATTCAAGAAACGGTAGGTAGAATGCTTTTAAAGAAATAATATAAAAATAATGAATTTTTAGTTTAGATCTAGGAGGGCTTTATCAGAATGAATAGTAAGTGTGAACACACAGTTCATGAGGGTAACTAACCAAGTGTGGACACACAGTCCACGAGGGTAAATAACTAATTAAGCACAGCAGGAACCACTAATCAAACGCAAGCATGAAGCCTATGAAAACAAGCGTGACTATGATGTTTACAAATAACTGTCCCTCCGTTCCCCTGCATTAACCTACACATGGGACTAGCACCTCCTATAAGCATCATGTTAGCTAGGTGTAACATGACGTATTAAGGGTTAACGGAATTACCATTAGCATCTAACATTTTTAACTCAGTCCTCTTCATTATCTAACATTCTTAACTCAGTCCTCTTCATTAAAATCAAGTGTGTGTGGAGAAAGAAAAATAGTTTTAAAATTCTCACTTTCAAATATTATTCAATTATCATTTTCTATTGCCTAAAATTATCATCATTTCCTTTATACACAAATCATTACAATAAAAATTTTATATCCATGTGGTATTAAATAATTAAACTGCTTATGAGAAATAATACTATTAATATGAAAATAGGATTAACAAGAATATGTAAACAATTTATAAAGTAATAATAATAATATTTAAATAAAAAAATTTTTATAAATATTTACTGAAAATATATTCAAAACATCACCCACTCATTTAAAAGTTTTTAAGAATTCAAAAGTTTGACCTTTTTAATTTCTTGCTTACTTCAATGGTGCCCTACAAACCAACTATCTTAATGTCACAATAATTTTTCTACTTGTAATAGGCAAGGAAAATTTATTTTCAAGCTCTTTGATAACCCTTTAAATTATCAATCAAATACTACTTTGAAAAAAAAAAGTTCTCTAATTCTCTCTTCAACCTTCATGAAAATAATTGTTTCCTATAATAATTTAATCAACAACCATCCACTCTCAAAAATTCAAATAATTACATATTAATTTCATAATCAAATTTTCTTTTCAACCTTTAAAATAAGTTTATAGATCAATAACACCGACGACAAAATATACTTCTCACAATAACCAATAAAATTTCAACAAAAAATACCAAAATTAAGCAAAGGTTTTTTAACAAGCATTTCATCGGATACCTTGTGGACATTAATATTTAAACTAACACCAACATCTTCCACGTCAATTTCACTTCCTAAAGATTTATCAGCATCAAATAATCAGATCAAGTTCAACCAAAACTCAAATCCATACCATCATCATCTTGTTCTTTATACAAAAACTTCAGCCTGAATCAATTTCCCTTTTTACGTTCAAGCATATATGACAGCACAAAGCATGAGAAATTTCACAGCAATATCCATTACAGCACGCATAAGAGAAGAGTTTGCAACCTTATTCACTAAATTACCCACATATGCTCGACAAAATCACAAAGAATAATGGTTTGAAGGCTCACTTTTATAGCAGCTGAAGAAGAAAGGAAATTGAAGAGCACTCACACACACATGCTGGCTCGGACCAGTGATGAAGCAGAGGGCAACGACAGAGAAAGAAAAATGCAGCTACTTACCAACTACAATGGACAAACGAAGATGAAGAAGAGTGCAGCAGTGAGGACGACACAGACCGATGGTGAGGAACGAGGAAACATGACTGAGAAGGAGGAGGAAGAAGAGTTCGACAGTGAAGAAGGAAGAAGAGCACAACATCGGTGATAATGCGGTGTTTTCTTTCCTCACACGACAGATATAAAAATCTGATCAAAGAAGTGTTGGAAAAATTACAAAATAAAGCATAAAGAAAATTACCAGGGAGGGCACAAGGGAAAGTTACAAAAATGGACAAAAACGTTTCTCTATAATTTGAAACCAAATAAATTCAAACTTTTGCTAGATAAATTTGAACTCTTGATCTTCAAAAAAATATTTTCTAGTATAAGTTTACTAAAACTCCTACTCTCTACTTGTTATAAAACTTATTTTAAATAAAATATTCATGAGAGAAAAATTTTGTCCAATTTAAAATTTAAGGTCATTATATTAGGATTATATTGAGATTAGTATTTAATCCCAATATTAATTATGTTTGGTATTAAATATTATGTAAAGTGTGGGTGTTAGTGTTGTTGGTTGTGATAATTCACTTATCCAAGAAAACTTGCTTGTTAGGAGCACAGGTAATCTTTACTACTAGGTTGTAGTGTATCTTGTGCGATTAGTTGTGTATATTTTATTTAAATTAAGTGTTGTTTGGAAAATATATGCTTTACAAATGTTATTGTGTAGTGCGTGTTGTGTGTAATCATTGTTTGGAAATAAATTGCTAGTGAGACGAAAAATTGATTGATATATAATTATGTTTCATTATGAAATTTTGATGTTTGAAAAATATGCAATATCGTCTAGAATTTATAATTTTTTGGAAATCATATGTGCATGAATTGTTCTATGTGGGAGGTTATCTGGGAGACTTATTGTTTGGAAATAAATATACATAGTATGCCCTCATTTGATCTATGAATGGCACTTAATTGCTTGAACTAGCTTACATTTGGCTTGGTGAGTTGGGCATCGAGCATGGATTTTGGTCTGGGAGAAATTAAAGGGGGAGATAAGGTGGTGGTTTTGCATAGCTCAAACTACTTTGGTTTTTTACCCTCGTGGGCTGTATATCAATGTTTGTTTTTGTGACATAAGCCATATTTGATTATTATTCTTAGAGACTTTATGTCCACATTTGTTAATTGCTCTGATAAGTTCCTATAAATATATAATTTTATTATTTGATATATTATATTCCCATTGGTTTTAATTAGTAATTTATTTATAATTAATTTTTTTTATTTTCTTTCTTGAAATCAAGTGACAATAATATTTGATAAAAATTTAATGGTTCAAGATTTTATTTAAAGTTATATAGAGCCCTTTTATTCCAAAAGTTTATTAAATTTTTAATAAGATCGTTGTCTCTTTAGCTAACATAATTATCTCAAACTTTCTTTTTATTCATGTTCAATTATCTATTATTGAGACGTTATTCATTGAGAAATTATTTTAGTCTAAGATACCTCAGCTGATGTTGATCCTCTAGCCAACTCTTGAGAAACTTTTAGACATGCTAGGTGGAAAGTTAATTGAAATTCCTCATAGGGTCTTTATTTGTTATAAATTTCGTCTGTTGTCTAAAAAGAGCTTAGCTCTTAAATTATATGATATTTTATTTGAAACAATGTATTGAAAAATTTTCAAGAGGTTTTATTTATGGGGAAAATTCTATCAAAATTTCTTCAAAATATTAAAGATTTTGCTATAATGATTAGCATCAAAAGCATTAAAATTTTAATATAAATTCAATTACATTTTAGAAATGGAATGAACTTTTGATTTGAGGATCATGGGGATGCATGATGTAGTACCTCATGCTAATCACTTTCTATTTTTAAGGTGTGACAAGCACCGTGGGGTCCCAAAGGGGTTGTCGCTTATAAGCTTGTTTTTTTGTACCATTGATGATGATTTTCCTGGAGATGTGGGCATTTCAGGTGACAATGTTGGAATCAACAGGCGTTTGGTTATCACTAATGATGATAACCCTTTTGTCGTGTGTTCGAGAAAGATTATGGTGCATGAAAGGCCTATACATACACACTTAAATACGTATTGTCCAAGTGTAATAATCCATTGTGAATAAGATCATGTGCAGGAAGCATGTGCTTTCTGATAAAATTATGCTTCAATTACTGTGTGAGACGATTACAATGGAATGAGGAGGGGGGGGGGAAGAAAAAGAAAATAGAAAATAAAAAGGCTCTTTATATCATCTCATCACAGAATAAATTTATCTTTATAATTATAACTATATGACATGTTATATTATATTTTTATCAGATAAACTAAAAATGATGTGATGTATTGGGTTTATATTAAAATTTTTGCCAAACACTAATATTGTGCTTGGTAGAAAATGTTATTTTTCTCCTGCTTGACAAAGGAGAGAAAAAACGAGAGGGAGAGGAAATTGAGAGGAAAATTACATGTGAGACTCACAGTTTTTTATTTTCAACTTTTCTATCTAAATATAAAAATATTTTAAAAAGAAAACTCAATTGTCAAGCTCACCCATGAATCTTTTCATTTCCTACCTGTTGCCTCTCTCCATTTAATTAAATTTTCCTCCCCTTTTAAAACTTAGATTATTTATATATTTAATAATATAATAAATTAAAATTAAAATTGAAACAAAATATTTTTTGGCTATCCGTCAGATAAAAGAATTTAACGTTAATTTTTATTTAATAAGAAACATATAATAAAAATTATATAAATAATATATTAAAATATTAAATTTTATTATATACAAATATTTTTCTACAAAGAATAAGGTTATTTTTTCAAAATTGTATTTATGCTAATCTTTTCATCAAAATTTTTGCAAAAGTCCACGAAATAAATAATAAATATTTTTTTATTTTCCTCTCATATCAAAGTCTTCTCGCCTGTCGTTTTTCTTTTTGTTTTTTATTTTGTTTTGTCTTTGTTTTTGTTTTTGTTTGTTTTTGTTTTTTATTTTTGCTCGACGCTGGGATATGATGCCTGCACATGAAAAAAATTGCTTCCTCCAGTTTTATTTTCCTAGTTCGGTAATCCCATAATACCAAAAGACAAAAACCCTAACTCCATTCATGTCCTTCTTTCCTCTGCCGCCGTGACTGTTTATGTATTCAAATATATATTATATATATATATATATCGAAATTCAAACTAAATTTAGTTAATATTATAGAATAATATCATATTTATTTTTATTAAAAAGTATGAAATATTAAATTCAAAAATAAAAATAAATTTGCATGAAGGTACAGTAGATGCGCGGAGAAACTGTTTAAAAAAGGTGATTAAAAAATATGCGCAGAATCATAGAATGCAAGAGGAGCTAGATTATTGCTAGAATATCAGGAGTCGTAAGAGTCAATGAGAAAGATGCGTACTCTGCATATTATGTTTTGAACATCGAACGAAAGTATATGCATGACCTGAATCACAATACAGAACGAGGCAGCGCGAAACCTAGGGCAAATAACTTATTTATCCCAATCAAAAAAACAAGACTGAAGACGATAGAGAGGGACACTTAAAAATCACACACACACACACACACCAAAAACAGCTACGCGGAAAGAAACGTAATGGAATTTACGTAGAATGCTAGCTAGTAGGATTTTTTAAAAAAGAAAAAGGTGTGTGAAAATTGATTAGTTTTATCTCAAAGTCTCAAGTTTGATGAAATTGCATTAAATAAATAAGGGTTAATGAGCAAATTATTGTCTGAATTTTGGGTTCAATAATATCAAAAACCTTAAATTTGTTTATTGTGAAAATTCTTTCCTCAACTTTTAAAAACAATACAATTTAGTCCCTATTATTAACAAAAATTAACTTTAATAGTTAGTTGACCATAAATGATAAAAGTAGACTTTAAAAATTATAAAAAAGGATCAATTTTTTTTATTCTTTCATGTAATTTTTTTGGTCTTTATTTGCAATTTTCAAGTCCTTTATTGTAATTTTTTGTCACTTTTTATATAATTTTTGACATCATTTTTTGTCAAATAACAGTCACAATTAACTTCAGTTAATGGTAAGGTCAAATTATACTATTTTTAAAAGTTGAGAGGGAGCAATTTACACAAAAAATAAATTCAAAATCTTTGGTACTACTTAACCTAAAGTTTAAAAAAAAAATAATTTACTCATTTACTTAATAAATAATTATATATACCAAGAGCATTCTTAAGATATTCATGAGGTCAGTCATTGTTGGTTAATCCTCAGTCATTGTTGATTATAAAAATCCTACAAGGGTTCGGATTAATGTAAGTGAGAGGTGATATAATACTCCACATTTTCCAAATACTAGTCAATAGAAAAAGAAAAGAAAAAAAAAAAACAAGAGAAGACGCGTGGGAGAGCTCGAGGAGTAAAAATACAAAAAATCGTACAACTTGACAGTGAAAGTGAAAGCGAGGAACACGGACGGATTGAATCACGGCTTCAATTCAATGCGATGAACATGTGATGATGTGAATGTATGGTTCCTTGTAACGGTCAATTTGGCCGGCAAGGCGGCCTGCCTGGGTTCCTCCACACTTCGAAGTCAATGAAATCTCCAAAATGCCCCTCATCTCTTCTGTTTTATTTAGAATTAATGATTATTTTCACCCCTCAATTTTATTAACTAAAGATGACTAGGGATTCGAAGCTCAACTATAATCAATTTTGCTTCTCAACTTTAAAGATCCTCTCAATAATTAATGGATCTCACATTATATTTTTAATTATATTTTTATTATAAAATATTTAAGTTGAAGGTGTTCATTGACTCTGAATAAAAATTAAGGACAAAAATGACTCTTAAATCAATAAAAATATTTACAAAATAGTGGGATTCATTAATGACTAATAGACATTAAATGTTTTTATCAAGATAATAAAGAAGGGAATATTTAATGTTGAGAGATAAAAAATACCCCATAATTGAGTTTAGAATCTCTAATGATGCTTTGGTAAAGTTAGGGGATAAAAATGATCTTTAACACTTTTATTTATAATTTATAACTTATAATAGTATAAATAGTTAAAAAATTTTATATTATATAAAGGTGTGTTGATTTGAAAACTCACATTTAACCATTGAATATCAATAAATATATATGATTAAACATAATAAAGATATAATTTAATCAAGTAAAACATAATGAGACTATTACTTTTTCCCCTTTGAGCCATTTTGAATATTATTTTGAGAGGTGAAAATGAATAGCTATTATTGTGAGGTATGATACACTTCCAATTATTATCATTGTATATATAAACTACAATTCATAGATTTTATATCACCCTTCTTCTAATTTATAGGATTTTTGTTCTTTTAAAAATTAATCTCCTTTCCCTCACGCAGAGAGTTAATCTAGTTTTATAAGAAAATAAAAAAGGGGCCTGACACATGAAATATGTATATACCAATATATAAAAAATACGAATAAAAAAAATTATAAATGATTTAAATTAATATAAAGTGACGTGTCACTATTGAAGTTGCTCTACAATAATTTTCTTTTGCACATAAAAATTACTTCACTCATCATGGAACTCTCATCATAGACGTGATAAAAAAAAGCTTTAAATATCTAGAGTTTTAAAAGATTACACCAATCATTAAATAAACAATGCATTGATTTCAAGAGTTAATAGTTTGATTGGGGTCAAATCATGGTTGAACCAAATATAATTATTTTAAATATTTTTAATAATATATATACATCTATGTCACAAATAAGTTCATACAAAATCATAAAAACTAATATTTTAATATATTTTTATTTCATCCACTTCATTTTTTACAGTATAAAATAGAATTTAATAAAATTTCCTTGATTATCCAAAAAATTAACATTTAATGGTATTAATGTTAATCTTTTCATCAAAATGTTTGCACTGTCCATGAAATAAATATAAATAATTTTTGTATTATCCTGTACTCCTGTTGCTTCTTTTCACATTTTTTTTTATGGTTCCTTTTTAATATCATTTTTTTTTATGTTGTTCCTTTTTAATATCATGACGGACGTTGCTTCATTGCTTCTTTTCTCCATGCTCTATTTAACATATTAATAGAAAAATATAATTTTGGTTTATCTAAAAAAAGAAAAACATAAATTTGAATTCTTATATTTCACTCGTGTTTTGCTATTAATTTTTATACTTTTTAATATTTAAATTTTTATACTTTTATTTTTATGTTTTAAATCCTTTTAAGATAAGATTCTTTGTTCAGACTTAAAACATTAAAAAAAATAAAAAATTTAAAATATTAAAAAAAATGTAATGACCAATAATATTCGCAAGGAAAATGTAGAAATTAAAGTTATGTTTCTTTATATTAATAATATAATAATGAGATGCTGCACATGGAGAGAGAATATGCTTCTAATATCCTTCATATAATAACAAAAGACAAAAAGCCCCCAACCCCATTTTCTCCTTTCCTCTGCGGCCGTGGCTATCATGAGGTGGAGGATTTTGAGGCTCTTGGCATCAGATGATTTCAGGGTCGATCAGATAGTTTTGTGACAGGAAAGACATACCTAAGGTGGTGGTTTATTATAAAATCTCTCTTTTTTTTCCTTGATTTTTTATAAATATCTTTTCTTTTTTCATCTTCACATTTCCTCTAAGCCTCTTCCCTCTTATTTTTTCAGCTTGAATCTCTTACACCTCTTGAACCAGTCATCCGGTCACCTTTTTCGGTCTTCTCAGTTTGTTGATCAGTTTACTGATTCTTGACCGTTTCAGCCAGTCCATTGTTTTGAACATTAATTGGATCGTACCAATGATTGATTTTCGATCCAACCGGCCGGTTGGTCCCCTTTTAAAAACATTGTTCAATATTAAATAGTAATATTGCGGAATAATTCTTGCATGCATATTAAAAAAAATGCAAAGTGGTCATATCAGAGTCAGTCGTCTGCCCGTCCTTGCTGAGACTTTTCGCGCCGGCAAATTGAATTGCTATTACCGATACTAATGAAAGAAGCCTCCAATATTGTGACTCCAAACTCCATTGTCTTCATCCTCCAAAGCCTCTCCTTGCTCCTCTCGCTTCCACCACCGCCATGTCCATCTCAACCACCACCAACACACCACCACCACTTCTTCTCAGATCCTTCAACACACCTCCGCCTTCATCTCCGACGTCCTCTTGCATTCCCAGCTCCGACGCCGCCTCATTTCCACCCTCCTTCGTGAGTCTCAAATCTCCAGCCAAATCACCCTCAAACACCTCAATTTCGCCGCCGATACTCTCGATAATGGTATCTCTGTCTCCAATCCCGCCATTCGATCCTCCTCCCTCAACCTCGCCGAGAAGCTCCTCCTTCCTCTACCTCAAAACCCGGTTTCCTCTTTCCTTCTCTCTCTCATATACATGATCAACAAGCGCCAACTTGAAGCCGCCTTAAGTCTTCTTCAAACCTTCTATTTAAGCCCTTCGTTGGCCCGATCGGAAATCGCTCCGATTCTCTACGAGCAGCTGTTTTCTCTCCACCTCCTCCCAGTTTTCCGATCCTTCGATGAACAAAGAGCGAGAATACTGCCATCTACATCAGAAAATTCAGCGCGCTACCCAGACGATTATTCAATTTCGGATGAATATGTCGTCTTGCCCTCCACGAAATCTTTGTCGCAGATGAGCAATGATCAAGCTTCAAAGCTAAGGGAATTGGAGAGAGACTACGAAGAGGCTATTGATGATAATTGCAGGATTATTGCCGAGTACTTCAAAGAAGTTTTGGTGAATAATAACGGGGACTCGTCAACCAGTCCGCCATTGTCGGTTCTGAAGAGCGATAGAGAAGATGCAGAAGTCGAGCATAGCCAAGGGGAGACAGCGGAAACAAGTGTGCCTTTGTTTAAGAACGGACGGTATAATGTAATGTTGTACTTACTTTTGTTATATTTTTCTAAGTTGCTTTTCATTTATACATATATTTTTGAAAAAATAACAATAAAAGTCTTAACAATTATATAAATAATAATTTAATTTTTTAAAATACTATAATTTTATTTAAATTTATAAAAAAAATTTATTAATAAATTTTAAATTAAAAAGTTTATTTTATTTTTATTGATAAATTATGATTTTTTATTCAATTCTTACAATTTTTTAAATAAAAATTATTATTTATTAAATAAAAATTGTGATTGGAGCTTATTATTGTGAAAAATTTTTTAATAATATAAATTACACTTGATAAACTGTAATTTTTTGTATAACTATTACAATTTACAGAATAAAAATTATTATTTTTTAAGTAAAAATTGTGATTGAGACTTATTGTTTTGAGAATTTATTTTTTAATAATACTATGGTTTATTGTTTAACTCTTGTGACTTGCAAAATAAAAGTTATTATTTCTTAAGCAAAAGTTGTAACTTGACTTGTTGTTTTGATAAAATAATTTTTTATTTTAAAATTTATTAACATAGAATGAAATTATGACATTTTAAGGGATTAGATTGTCATTTACATAATTTGAGATGATTTTATTATCATTTTCTCTAATTTTTATAAAGCTATTAATTATTTAATCAATATGATAAAGGATATACACATTACTTTTTTTAAAAGAGAAGTACAAATAGGGACCTCATAAAAAATTAATACTCTCTCTGTCCCAAATTATAAGGCAATTTTGAAGGAGTTTTTTCATCTCAAAATATAAGATACTTTGAGTATATTAATATTTTATTAAATACTCCAATTTTAATATTATCATTTCTCTCTTTATAATTAATTTTCATCATTTTTTTTCATTATATTAAATTATGGATATTTTGAGAAGTTTATTTTTTGTTTTGAAAAAATAAGGTTGTTAAGTGTATTTAATGAAGTTTATTAATATGTAAAATTTTATTTAAAAGTATCTTATAATTTAAGACGGATGGAATATTAAATTAAAAATTTTAGTATTGAAACAGATATTAAAGTTAAAAACTTTAATTATAAAAAAAATTTAATTTGATATTAATTTTTTAATGGGATCCCTCCTCGACTTTTCTCCTTTTTTAAATTTTAATTTTTCCCGTGACAGCAGCCAATATGGACCGAAACGGCACTCTCGAGTAGCAGTTTCAGCGCCAAGTGGTTGAATGCACCATTTTATCCTCAAAGAGTCTCTCCTAAAATTCTCAAACACCAAGAATCTTCTAAAAATCTGTCCTTACCATCCCATTCAGACATAGACGCTGGAACTGAGCCTTCGGTGGATGAAAATATGCCTTGCTATTCGTCAGAATCTGAAGCAGAAACTGAGGTAATCAATACTTACAAGAAGAGCAAAATGCAATGCGGACTGAATTCACTAAGCTAGCTATAATAGTTTATGTTTTGAAGCAGTGAAGTTATGTCCCGTAGGAAAAAGACAACATGATGGTATCACTGAAGCCTCGACGAAGCCAAATCCAAGAATCAGAACCTGGACGGTATGCCATAGAAATATTCATTTATCATAGTTTTGTTGTTTGCTGTGTGTTCTCAAACTTGGATTCTTCATGTTTCTAGTTCCCCAGATTATGCCATGGCAGATTATGATCACCAGCCGCATAGAAACGAAAAATGTATGCCTCCCAAGGACTTTGTCTGCCCAATAACTAGCAATCTCTTTGATGATCCAGTGACTCTTGAGACAGGTCAGACATATGAACGGAAAGCCATCGAAGAGTGGTTTAACAGGGGGAACTCAACCTGTCCAATCACTCGCCAGAAGCTGCAAAATACCCAACTTCCTAAAACAAATTATGTGCTCAAACGACTAATTGCAAGTTGGAAAGAACAGAATCCCAATTCAATCCCATCTCCATCTCCATCTGACAGTCTACATGCTGAAACTGAAGTAGAAATCAAGTCAACAATGCCTTCAACTTCTCCTAATAGTGTTATAACACAGGCCAATGTTGATGGGATGATTCGTGAGTTACGACATGCAATCAACAAGCTGTATATGTCAGAGGTCCTCGAGGAGTCTGAGATGGCTGTGCTTCAAATTGAGCAATTATGGAAAGAAGTAAACCTGGGAGTGGATATCCAAAGCATGCTATCCAAACCTCCAATCATTAATGGGTTTATGGAAATTCTATTTAATTCTGTTGATCCCCAGGTGCTTCAAGTAACAGTTTTTCTTCTGGCTGAGATGGGTACTAGAGACAATGCTGTTATTCAGACTCTTACCCAAGTGGACTCTGATGTAGAATGTATTATGGCACTTTTCAAGAAAGGCTTGACCGAGGCTGTTGTACTAATATATCTTCTGAAACCTCCTACTACGACTCTTGCAGAAATGGCCATGCTGGAGTCTCTCATAACAGTTTTTGATAAGAAAGAGGAGGACTTGCTTAAGATGTGCATAAAGCCAAAGTCAGCTGTGGTACTTTTACTGGCACGGATTCTTGGAAGCAATGAGGAGAGAATTGCATCTTCAGTAGCCAAGACTTTGATAACTAATAGAGTAATTGGATATATAATTGGCAGTTTTCGAGCTGAGTGGGCAGAGGAGAGGATTGCTGCAGCAGAGATCTTATTAAGATGCATCCAGGAGGATGGAACTTGCAGGCACGTCATTGCTGAAAGAGTTGAGCTCTCTCCCATTTTGGAAAGCTTCGTTGGGGCGAATGATGCAGAACGTTTTAAGATAATTCAATTTTTTTCTGAGTTAGTCAAATTAAATAGGTAAATCTGGTTCATATATATCGTTGCGTTAAACATATTACTTTACTTTGTAGTTGATGTATTTTGGGCTCCTTAATAGGTTAATTCAACCTTTTGGTTTCCTTCAGGAGGACATTCAATGAACAAATCCTCCACATTATAAAGGAAGAAGGTTCTTTCAGTACAATGCACACCTTCCTCGTTTATATGCAGACAGCCCTTCAAGACCAATGTCCAGTTGTGGCTGGCCTCTTACTCCAACTTGATCTTCTGGTTTGAATCTGTCTATCCTTCTCGATGGAAATTAAGTTTGATTTCACCATACATATTAGAATGGAAAGGAACAGTTGCGTGATTGATATGCCTTAAAACTTGAGAAGCTGAAATGCTCTACTAGTACTAGGGAGTTGTAATCATAATTTTGTGTGCAGGTAGAGCCAAGAAAGATGAGTATATACCGTGAAGAGTCTATAGATACTCTTATTTCATGCCTCAGGAACACTGATTTCCCGGCTGCCCAAGTAATAGCTGCTGAGACAATAGTGTCATTGCAAGGAAGATTCAACTTCAGTGGGAAGCCTCTTACTAGAGAAGTCCTTCTTAAACGTGCAGGCGTTAATGGAAATTATAGAAATCTTGATCAGATGGATCATATCAGCGGAGAACTTGAAATGAATCCAGTATATTTCTCTAAAATCTTTAAGTACTGGGTTTTGAGTTTCTGATATTTGCCAGGCAAACGTCTTTTTTAATCTCGTATATTTGGTTTGGCATCCTGATAACAAAGATAATTCTTTTGGTCTCCTCATTTATTATTAATTTCTTTTCCATTTGATATCAACAGGAAGAAGAGAAGGCAGCTGATGATTGGGAGAGAAAAATTGCGTCCGTTTTAGTTAGCCATGAGTTTGGCCTCCTTTTCGAGGCTTTCGCTGAAGGCGTGAAAAGTCGAAGTACACAACTAAGTTCAGCATGCTTTGTGTCAGCCACATGGCTTACATACATGCTTAACATTCTACCTGATACAGGAACGCGAGGAGCAGCCTGTGTCTGCATGCTCAAGCACTTTGTATCTATATTAAAATCTTCTAAGGACACAGAAGATAGAGTCCTTTCTATGCTTGCTTTAAACAGCTTTCTTCAATACCCTGGTAAGTTGTATGAGCCATGTGTTTCTATTAGAACAAAAAGTTCTGTTTGAGAAATAATGAAAAGCAGGTTGACTACATCTGGAAATATGAAAAATAAGTAAGACACAAAATGCAACAAACTAATTTATGTCAGACTTTATTTATATAAATATTTTGGTATCTTTATATTTTGTTCCATGTCAAACAACTCTCCTTTTTCCATGTGCATAAAGCTCTAAGCCTCAAATTCAATTGTTTTACTTTATGTTGTTTACTGATGCATATAAGAAGGTCTGTCATTATGGTAGAAATTAAGAAAATGAGGAGCGTGCTTGACATTGTAAATTTCAGACGCATTGCTTGATCTTTCTTCCTACACTAAGGATGTCCTAAAAGGTCTAAGAGAGCTAAAGAGATTCTCCCCCCTTGCATCTGAAATGCTCAAATTTTTGGTTGAAGAGAATGAATCTAAAGCAGTAAGTTTTCTATATTATTAAATTGTTTTAAAATAGAGCCACTGTGTTAGCTACGTAAATGTTCTTGATTGAAACAGGGCATCTGGATGCATAAGGAGTTAATTCAGGTAGATTGCAGTGAGAATGGAGAAGTGTTGTCTGTCATTTGTCACAAGGATAAAATTTTTTCAGGTCATTCAGATGGAACTATCAAGGTAATTAAACTATTACAAATTTCTTGAGCACCTCAAATGATTTAAGTATTGGAAACAAACGACTAGAATAACTGAAATAATCAGTTGAAACTAAATCAATGTTTACTTTAACCATTGTTCATGTGATCAAACTAGCAATATGTAGTTAGTGGAAGTGCCGGGTTCATGCAAGACCCAGTTATGTTCGAACATGGATTTATGCTTAACTAAAGGGAATCTATTCCTGAATCTGGAAAAAAACAAAATGTTATAGTCTAATTTGTCTAACAACTTTGTGCAATATAAAAACTTAAGCTCATTTGACAAATTCTTTGTAATTTCTAAAGGTCTGGACAGTGAGGGGGAGCTTATTCCATCTGATACAAGAGACGCAAGAACACACGAAGGCTGTTTCAAGTTTGTCAATTTTAGAATCTATTGACAGACTGTACAGTGGTTCACTTGATCGATCTGTTAAGGTAATACCCTCTGCTTTCTCTTTTTTCCTTGGAGAAAAAACTAATGTTATGCTTTCATCTCAATAAAACTCTCTTTTCATTGATGACCAGGTCTGGTCTATCGGAAAGTCAGCAATACAATGCGTACAAGTGCATGACATGAAAGATCATATTCATAATTTAGCTGTAACCAACAACAAATTTTGCTACATTCCTCAGGGAAATGGTGTCAAGGTATTAAATGAAATCATAAATCCTTCTTCTTCTTCTTTCATCTGATGGACCACGAGTCTGATGTGACCACCCCTTAGCATGCCTGATCCCATTACAACACCCCACCAGTCTTCCTTTTATAAGGAAAAAGCCTTTCTGTTACACTAGTACATCCTGCTTGTTTAATTGCTATGAGTTACATTTTGCACTATTTTCTTTATTACTTTTCTCTATCTGATTTTTTCGTTAAAAAGTAAATGTCTCAGTCGGTTTTATCTCTGGTGAACTTAATGCTTCTTCTCCCCCAAACGAATGTAATTCTTATCAATTATTTCTTATGTACTTGTGGAAAAAAGAGAAATCATTTATTCACCTAAAGTCTAAAACTAAGTTGTTAATTAATAAGGTTCAATCATTGCATGGAGAACTGAGGCTGTTAAACAGTAACAAATACATCAGATGCTTGGCTCTTGCTCAAGAGAGACTATACTGTGGATGTCACGACAACAGTATTCAGGTAACAAGTTTTAAGGAGTTATGACAGTCTTAACCACTTTGATCCTTTTTGCCTTTTTGAAAATAATACTTGTTTGAAATTTCAGGAGATTGATTTGGAAAAAGGAACTGTCAATACCATTCAAAGTGGTTCTAAAAGATTGCTTGGTAAAGCAAATCCCGTTTATGCCCTGCAGATACATGGCGAACATATATATGCAGCCAGTTCTACTCTGGATGGAGTTGCTATAAAGGTATCCTTCTCAAGACTATAATTTCATGACATATCACTACCATCATCTAGAGGAAATATTTAGAAGGACACATAAAAAAATTAAACAAATTGCCTCTCCCAGAGTCTCGTAATTATGTTCCAGTATGAAACTTCCAAGTAAGCAGTTAAAATGTTGCATAATTCCCATAATAAACATCAGTTTTGCCTCTAAAATGAACTTAATTCAAACTTATTAAATGACGATAATTTTACAGTAGTTCATAACTCAAAATCAAGAGTTTCATTCTCCTTTCATCACCCAAGAATTTATTTAGATTCTTGGAATAAACGGCAGTTCTTGTGCCCAAGGGTTGTCTAGAGTTTTGTAGCATGAAAAAGAATCTAAAGTAATTGAGATGCTGCTTCAGTGAATGATGTACCGAAGTTAATCATTTAACTCTGTTTTATATTTGTATTCAAGATATGGAAAAAGTCCAATTATAGCATGATTGGATCACTTGTAACTGCTTCAGAAGTGAGGACGATGGCATTGAGCTCAGAATTAATTTACTTAGGATGCAAGGGAGGAGCTGTGGAAATTTGGGATAGGAAGAAACATAACAGAATTGATACATTACAGATTGGTACGAATGGTAAGATCACTTGCATGGCTATCGACGACAATGAAGAAATTTTGGCGATTGGAACATCTGATGGCCGAATTCAGGTACCCCTTTTCCCTTAGAATCCTGTCTTTTTATTTGGATGTTTATATTGACTATTAATTACAATTCTTTTTTGGATTCGATGTTTACTCATTCATGATATCTATTCACCAAGAAGCATACATAATTGTCTTAAACAATAGTGTTTGATCTTTGTTGCCTTGGCCTTAAAAGAGTTACTGAATCCTATGATAATTTGCAGGCGTGGGGAATAAACTAAGGGGGTGATCCAAAATTTTCTTGCTGGAGACAAAAGGTCGTCAACATATCTGACCGAGATTAAATTTATTGAACCTTTGAAATGTTTTTGTTTGAGATATATTTTGTAAGATGTACATAGCTTAAAAGTCTATACGTAGAGAAATGTCAACATAGCTTAAAAGTCTATACGTAGAGAAATCTTCTTCTTCTTCTTCTTCTTCTTCTTCTGTCATTTCTTCTGAGAGTCATGCTACGGTGTAACTAGTATTAAACAAGGTTATTAGCAGAAGGTGAAATTAAACCATGCCATGTATTGATCCGCTGGATAAACAATAACATCAACTAGTATAATATTATTAAGTGGAGTCAGCTACAGGTATAGTATGTTATTGTGCTATATTAACAATCACATATTTGAATATATTGTTTACTGAAATGTTCTGCTCAATAATTTTTTTGAGTGTTTTTTCTGTCTTCCTCTGCCTTTCTTTACAAAATTTCAAAGTATTTGTTCAACCCTCATTAATTACAGGTAAGTCTAACATTCTTCTTTGTACATGTATAAAATCACCTTAAATGATTTTCTTTTTGTTTTCCATTGGAAATGATTTCTCCTTTTTCTTATTAGCTTGCAAATCGAAATTCTTTTTCCAACTAGATCCTTCATTCAGCTTGCATTCAATTATCAATATGACGATATATTAGCAAGGTTTTAAAAACCGGACCGGTCATTGAACCGGACGAGGCACTGGTTCACGGTTCATTGGTCGAACCGTGGTCGAACCGGGGTCGAACCGGTTGATATTAAATTAATATATTTTTAATTTATATATCATAATTAAATAAAAAATACATTTAAATATGCATTTTTTTTCAAAAATATATTATAGATGCTTGATAATATAATTTTTTTTATTGATAAATACATAATTAATATTAATTATAACTGAAGCTTTTCATTTAAATATCAAGAAAGATGTAATTTAATTTTAATTTTAATTTATTTTTTATTTTTTTTTAAATTTTTTCCGGTTCTTTCATGAGAACCGGTCCGGTTTTTGTCCAGTTTTACTGGTTTTTGACCGGTTTAACCGGTTGTTGACCGGTTCTCTGCTGACCGGTTTTTAAGGGTCGACCGAACCGGACCAGGAGCCAGTTCCCGGTTCAACCGGTTGAACCGGCCGGTTCGGTCTGGTTTTTAAAACCCTGTATATTAGGATCTTTTTTTCTCCTTTGATTTCTTGTTTATTTTCTGATTTCTCCTCCCCAACTTCTATCACTTGGCGCCCATGCTAGGGTTTTAATTAATTTTTAATTTATTATTCACATTTCATTTCTTTTAATATAATTCGCCTTATATTCAGGGAAAAAAAATACGCCTTTGGCTGCTATGCAAGAGAAGGGTTTTGAAATATAGGACACAATAAATGAACTCAAGCTTTGATAGCTAGCTCAAGTGATAAATATGGGCTAGGTATATGTAGAGGTTAAGGATTCGAACACGCCTGATATAAAAATAAAAAAATAAAATAAAATGAAAAACTTACAATTTGCAGGTGACATCATCTCAATAATGCAAAAACATTTTTTTTTACAATATCAATTATAATGCAAAAGTTTAATGGAAAAATATTAATCAAGAACTATTGGAGAAAATTTATATCAGTTAAAGATCACTTGTTGTCAAAACTTGAACTAATACTTATTGATTTGAGTTAATTTTTTATCAATAAGTATTCATTCAGGTTTTGACAGCAATTCATTTTAAATTAACAATAGTCTATTCAAGCTTTGACAACAATTAGTCCTTGACTAATATAAATTTTCTCCAACAATCCTTGATTGTTATTTTCCCAAGCTTAACACATTCACCCTTTTACTAATAAAAAAGGACAACTGGAGGTCGGTCAATAGGGACATCAAGATTGTTATTAACAACAATTAAAGTGCGTTTGATTTTTAGTTTGAAAAAATTTATTTGTCAAAATTTTATTTAATAAAAATTAGTTACTGCAACAAGATTTGTGTTTGAATTTTTTTAAAAAAATTAATTTGACAAATTGAAAGTTGTTTGAATAATATATGATAAAAAATACTTTTAAATGTATAATTACTAAAGAGGATACATTTTCAATAATATAAAATTTGATATTTTAACCAATAAAAAATTATAAATAATAAAAAAATTGATATGTTGAAAAAATAATTATAAATATTTTTATTTTCATTTTTAAAAAAATATTAACAAGGGACAACTTAGAAAAAGAGGTGGTTAAAAATTTTAACTCCTACATTTAAAATATTAAAAGCAACTCTCCCAATTTTTTTTTTTTTGGAAAAGGACTTTTGATGCTCATATGAATAGACTTTTAGAATATATATTTAGAAATAAAATGCTAGCCAAATTACTTTTACTTTCTAAAAGTTATAAAAGTCCTTTTAAAATGTAAAAAGTAAAATACCCAAACACGCACTAAGTTCGCAGATTTTATTATCGTTGTATGTTAAGAGTCAACCAATAAATATTAATTAGCTAGAATTATTATCATTGTGCGTGTGCATTGTCGACAGGACATCAAGACTGTTTTTAACAACAACTCTATATTATTATACTCTTCCAATTATTATCATTATATTGTATACATAAACTAGAATTCATAGATTTTATTATTACCTTCTTCTAATTTATAGGATTTTGTTCTTTTAAAGACTAATCTCCCTACACCCCGTGCAGAGAGTTAATATAGTTTTATATAGAGATAAAAAAAAAAAAAAAGTGGCCTAACACATCAGATAACATACCAATATATATAAAAAAAACGAATGTAAAAAATTATAAACCATTTAAATTAAAGATAAAGTGACGTACCACTATTGAAGTTGCTCAACAATAATTCTCTCTTGTACATAAAAAATAGGAAGAATGACATTAAGGGCCCTAAAAACATAATTTATATCACTTAAGATCTAAATCAATCTGAAATTGCTTTGTAGGCCTTAGGGCTCCAATTGCAACATTTCTTCACACTAAAAAAAAATATTATTTTGCCCTTAATGGAAAGAAATGTAATTAAATGTAGAAAGAGGATGACAAATGCAAGAATGTGTATTCAGCTGGAGGATGGGAATGATTTTGAGCTCTACTCGAGAGGAGTAACTTTTAAGGTGCGCAAATTTCAAAATTCATCTATTTTCAGCAATGCTTCTAATGATTTCAAGATCTCAGCTGAAGGTTTTCAGGTTTTTTACATTCTTGCTGTAAAAATAAGCTGAGATTTTTACTGTTCTTGCTATAGAAATGAGCAGCATCCATTTTTGTTGTAGAAATAATTTAAGGGTAGAAATAATTTAAGATTTGTTATTGCTGCATGTCAGTTGCTGGTGAAGTGACAACAGAAGTGATCTTCACTCATTTAATATGTAATAGCTCATTTAATGGAAGCATTTAATTGGGGTTTTACATGAGGTAGTAGGATGCATATTAGATGGACTTTTCGTTGTACAAACTACAATGTGATGTTGAAATTGAAATTTTATTTGTGATTCTATTGCTGATATGAGGTAAATGTTGCTGAACCATTTTAGCCACAAAAATTTTAGAGTGGATTAGTTATTGTCAAGGTTTTAAAAATCGGACCGGTCATTGAACCGGACGAGGCACTGGTTCACGGTTCATTGGTCGAACCGTGGTCGAACCGGGGTCGAACCGGTTGATATTAAATTAATATATTTTTAATTTATATATCATAATTAAATAAAAATACATTTAAATATGCATTTTTTTCAAAAATATATTATAGATGCTTGATAATATAATTTTTTTATTGATAAATACATAATTAATATTAATTATAACTGAAGCTTTTCATTTAAATATCAAGAAAGATGTAATTTAATTTTAATTTTAATTTATTTTTTTATTTTTTTTAATTTTTTCCGGTTCTTTCATGAGAACCGGTCCGGTTTTTGTCCGGTTTTACCGATTTTTGACCGGTTTAACCGGTTGTTGATCAGTTCTCTGCTGATCGGTTTTTAAGGGTCGACCGAACCAGACCAGGAGCCGGTTCTCAGTTCAACCGGTTGAACCGGCCGGTTCGGTCCGGTTTTTAAAACCCTGGTTATTGTACAATAATGATGGTTGACTTGTTTATATTGGACTTTTACATGTGAACTGAATAAAATATGATCTAATATGAAGAAAATCTTCTATCAAAAATGTTAGAGTATTTGTTGTGTAAAAATGAACTGAGTTGTTTTTGTTGAACATTGAGTTGTGCATTATGTTATGCCTAGCCTAATGATAAATTGGAATTATATGACTTTCAGGTGAGAATATATGAACCTTATGTTGTGTGTCATAGATATTATGTTGTGCCATATTTGTCTAACTTGAGTATTTTTTTGTTAAGCCTAGCCTAATGATAAATTGGAATGACATGGACTTCCAGGTGCCATATTTCTCTTGTTAAAATTTTATTTTATCATATTAGATAATTATTTTATTATCATTTATTTATTTAGTATTAATAATTAATATATAATAATATATAATAAATGAATGAAGAGAGGTGGCATTTCCAAACTTGAAAACGCCACCTCTCTCCATCATTCAATATTTAAATTATTTTTTATAAGATAAAGTATAATTTCTTTAAAATTTATTTAGTAAATATTAATTATTAAAAAGCAAAGAAGTGGCATTTTTTGGGCTTGAAAATGTCATCTCTCTACCTTGTTATTGATTTAGTATTTATTATTAGATTTAATAATTATTTTATCATAATTTATTTAATTAATAATTTTAATTAGTATATTGTATTATTTAATAAATAAAATTAGAGAGATGATATTTGCTGAGGTTGAAAATGCTATATCTATACTCTCTTGTTGATTTAAAATTTTATTTTATCATATTAAATAATTATTTTATTTTAATTTATTTATTTAATATTTATAATTAATATATAGTAATATTTAATAAATAAATGAAGAGAGGTGGCATTTTCAAATTTGAAAACCCTACCTCACTTCTTCATTCAATATTTAATTAGTTTTTTATAATATAAATATTATTTTATTATAATTTATTTAGTTAATATCAATTATTAATATATATTATTATTTAATGATTAAAAAGTAGCGAGGTGATATTTCCTGAGTGTGAAAATGCCATGTCTCTACCCTGTTATTGATTTAGTATTTTATTATCAGATTTA